TATTTAATTGCATATTTATTTGTTTTGTATTTGTTTTATATTTTGTCTGGAGGGTGTTCATACATGAATATTTGAGCATAGGTAATATAGGGGCACTATAGTGAGATAGGAACATTTGGTGTCGTTATGTTATTACCTACTTATAAACTCTGTGTGCAGAATTGTTTGTATATTTTTATAATACTGTTGTCTTGTGCTGGACATTGATTTTGTGAGGATATTTGAACATATTGTGATATAGGGATACTATAGTGAGATAGGGACATTAGGTTACGTTTTATCACTTCACAGAGTATGCAATTGTCCCATAGTGTGGTTATTGGCTACGGTTAAATATCTGCACTAGATTAAATTTTTTCCATGTTTCCTCTCCCCTTTAAAGCATTTGAATTCTTTATATCTGAAATGTGTCGTTACTGTGGTTTATTTATATAAAATCGTATCCTCGTTCAATAGTTCGAAGATGCGTGGTAAGGTAAACAAACACTTCTACTTCTACTTCTTCTCTACACTCTTTTGAATATTGCTAAAAAACTCCCAAATTATATGAAATATGTTTATCTGCTTTTTATGTCATTTTATTCACTTATTATTTATACTGTATTCTTGTGATTATGACCCATATAACTATGTTTTGTTTTGTATTTTATTTTTATTTGAATTGTGTAAGTCGCCAGGGTTTTTATGGTCCCTTTTCCCTGTGCTTTGACTCGACGGGCCACCCCTTTGTCTTTGCTTAAATTAAATCAGGGGTTTAAAATTAAATACTTGTGTTTCATTAAACCTGACCAATTTCAAAATATCGTTATTATCAATGTAAGTAAATACACAACGTAGAGTCCTAATTTTTATAAAGTAAGTAAATTAACTAGACGATCACGAATATGCCAAAACAAGTATTTCAGTATACTTAAAGAATCGGGTTACGAAAATACATAGTGTACCTTACAGAGGATTTTCTCAAAATCCCAGCTCAAGACAAATCCTCTGCAAAAACACGATCCCCGAACACATAAACAAAAGTACAATCACAGATTCAGAATATAAATCTTTGCGAATCAAAAACCCCAGAACAGACCTTCATGTAAACCCTTTACTAACAATGAGTTCAAAAAATCTATACTATGTTTACAACGCAAATAAATAATTTAAACTTCTTATTGATACAGGCGCAGGAATCTCAATTTTCAAAAATGAAACATGCCAAAATTATCGCTCTAGAAAATGTTAGTATACGAGGAATAACCGAACAAAAACTTTCAATAACCCAATCAACACTCATTCCTTTCACTCACGACGACCCCCATAAAGTCTATGTTATCCTCTGTATGGGTAGTATCAAAAAAATTGGACGCTTCCGGTAAGCAAAAATGGCGTGTAGTAATCGACTATCGCAAACTAAATGAAGTCCCCTTCCTAACATATCCGATCTGCTTGATCAATAAGGAAAGTGCCGGTATTTTACTACCTTAGACCTGGCATCAGGGTTCCATCAAATCGAGATTAAACCAGAAGATATTGAGAAAACTGCTTTCTCAGTTGAAAATGGCCACTATGAATTTATTCGTATGCCATTTGGCCGAAGAAACGCCCCCTCAACATTCCAACGTGTAATGGACAACATTCTCTTGGGCATTCAGAACGAAAGATGTCTCGACTATATGGACGACATCATCGTCTATTCACCCACAATTCATGAACACATTTCCCGACTAAAAGAAGTTTTCCAGCGGTTACGCAAAAGCAAACCTTAAAATACAACCTGACAAATGCGAACTTCTCCGCAAGGAAGTCGCATATCTCGGACATTTAATCACACAAAACAGTGTTAAAACCAATCCGGAAAAAATTAAAGCTATAGAGAATTTTCCTAAACCAAAAAACCCAAAACACATAAAATCCTTTCTAGGACTTGCCGGTTACTACCGCAGGTTCATCCCCAACTTCGCTAAAATATCCAAACCACACAAAACTTTTAACTAAAGACACCCTTTTTATTTGACTCTGACTGTAGACAGGCATTTAACGACTTGAAAAAATCCTTAACATCTGCAGATCTGACCCAATCCTAATTTATCCTAATTTTGAAGAACCCTTCGTCCTTACCACTGACCCAAGCGCTTTTGCAATTGGAGCCGTTCTTTCACTGGGCCAAATTGGGAAAGACCTACCTTATGTGCTAATGAACCACGATATTCTACAATAGACCGAGAACTTCTCGCTATAGTTTGGGCCGTGAAACATTTTCGCCCCTACCTATATGGACGGAAGTTCACATTGGTCACAGATCATCGCCCCCTCAGTTGGGTCTTTTCAATTAAAGACCTCGGTGGTAGGTTAGCGCGGTGGCGCCTAAAACTCGAGGAATACAAATCATTTTAAAGAATGTTCCAAAATCCAAGCAAAAATATCTGCAGATATCTTCAAGACGATCCCGAAAGTGAACGAAGAAAATGACGAAATTAAAATATTTGACGAATACAATACTTTTGCTGAATTGTACAGAACAAAATCCCTTATTGACTACTCCAAAATAGACATTTCAAACGCATGCACAGTTACTAGACAAATCACATAAAAATATAGTAGCATTTTTTTGGAAAAACAATAAAACAATAATACTGAAGAAGAATTAATCCTACGGATACTGGATTCATGTAACGAAATAAGACATCCCTTGTGATGTTTTAATAAGTAAAAATAAGAGTTTTAAAGTCTTACTCTCTCTTAAAAAGTCTGAATAAGTCTTAGTAAGTCAGACTAAAAGCAAGATTTGGGAGTCTTCCAGAAGAGTTAATAAGACTTTCATAATGAAATCTTAGACGACATTTTCGAAGAAAACCCTAACTGCAGAACAGATTCCTTAACAATTATCTCTAGTAAAAAACAGTAAAGGATCGCAAATACTTTACCATTTGACCCAGAAATCGATTAATCAAATCTAATTGATTAATCGATTATTACAAAAAAATAATCGATTATTTTGCCCACTTCTATTACTTATACCCATTACGCTCAGTTTTTAATTCTCTAAAATGTAAAAGTTTTTGAATAGTAGTCCATACATAAAAAAGTTACAGAGGTGTCCACACTTAAAAGGAAACGCATTATCAGGCAAAATTAGAGCAACAAAGTTATTTTTTAGTCATGTTTGAATAAAAAAACTTACTGGGTTGTGATTTTTGGCTCATTTTAATAAAATACTATCTTTACTTTAAAACTAACATTTTACAACATTTTAAGAATGGTAAATAATAACAATTAGAAAAATTAATGAGAATGGGGGCCACAAAAGTAGAGCAACAAATTGTATTCAACAGAATTTTAATGTAATTTATTTAACAAAAAACACATTTTAGAACTATAAAAATTAAAAGTAATTCATTAATAATTAATAGAATATCCATTATTATTAATTACTTGCAGACAACGGCGCTGCATTGAAGAAATCAACTTTTCAATGACATGTCAAAAAATATTTTCGGTAAGATTTGTCCAAACTTCATTTATTTTATTTGCAAAAAATTATTTATTTAAAAACATTTGCGTACGAATACGACGTTCTACTTCTTCCCAGAGATTTTCAATGGTATTAAGGTCTGGGGATTGTGCAGGCCACTGAAAAACTCGAACGTTATTTTCCTCCAACCACTGTTGAACAACTTTTGAAGAGTATTTTGGATCATTGTCCTGTTGGAAAATAAAACGCAATGGCATTTCCCAATTTGCATAAGGAGGCATAATATTTTGCATGATATCCCGATAAACAAATCGGTCCATTGTGTCATTAATAAATAGTATAGGGCATACCCCATTCCAAGAGAAATAACCCTATAAAAAACACTGCAGGCCGCCTCACACGTCCCATTCCATCAGAATATTTTGTCGCGTTTCATCACTGAATAAAACTTTTTTCCAGTCATAGACGGTCCAGTTTCAATGCCGACGTGCAAATGCCAATCTTGCTGCTTTTTAGCTTTTTAGCTGGACGCCTTCTTGATTTTGGTAACTTCTCCAATTATTTAAGATACACTGTATCGGGGTAACACAAACTGTCTTGAAATATCGGATTGTTTGTTACCTTTCATGAATGCATTCACAACTCTCTGTTTTAAGTCTTTTGAAATTGGAATTCCTCTTGGCATAACTAATCCAGCACAGAATTGTTAAAATAAAACTCACAAAATTATTTTTGCCTTTTGAAGAAGATATTTAAATGTTACTTTACTTTTGAAGCATTACTAATTACTATTTAGCTTAAAACTAAATGCCAAAATAAATTCATTTGTTTTTTCGTAAAATTCGTCACCGATCATAGCCTACTTTGATGTTTTAAAACTTATTGCATTTTTATACATTATCATGCATGCATTTCAAGTGTTGCTCTACTTTTATTCGATAGTGTATAACAAAAACATTAAATAAATTAAAAACAATTTATTATCACATAAATAACAACAATCACACACAATAATATCACATTTGGGCGATTCCATGATTACTGACGAGACAAGCAACAAAACAAAATGTTTTATGAAAATTTTTGAAGATGTGTTGTTCCTATAATAATAATTTTATGCCGGTGGCAGAAGCAATGAAATTAAGTAATAATAACTATTATAAAATTATTATTATTATATGAACAACACATCTTTAAAACTTTTCATAAAACATTTGTCTTGTTATTGTTTGTCCCGTCAGTAATCATGAAATCGCCCATTTCTAATATTCTCAAAATAAATAAATTTAATTACAACAAAATAAATACATAAATGAATAAAAGCTATCAAAAAACAATAATTTACATTTTTTACTGGTTCTATAAATAAATGATTGAATTATTACTTCAGTACGGTATTTAATTTATTTAACAATTATTGTCTAAGTGGTTTGTTCAATATTTAAATTATATTTATTAAAAGTATGGAATTTATTAAATATTTCAAAATAAAAATATTTTGCATGCATAATATTACATACATAATAAATACCTACATGACTAATATCAAAAATAAAATTTTACAAATTATAATTGAGTATGCAATCATTGGTATTTTCTTTAACAGTATCACAATAACATAAAGTCTCATTACGAGCCGGAGCACTGATATATTGAAATTTATTATCATTATAATTAAGCATTATTCTAAAAGACAATGTTACATCTTCGGGGATTCCTCTGCAGGTTTGGCCGGGTGTGCAAATCCCGTTACAGTTGCATTGATAAAGCACTGTATATTCGGGTTCTATTTTATAAACCTAATAAAACAATAAATTACTTTAAACATCAAAAACAAGAACATTGTATACTTACATTTGTCATATTCTTTAGAAGTATTGAAGATTTTACTAATCGCGGCAGAGAAGTTCCGCACGTAAAATGGCCTACATACGAAGAATGTTTTCTATACTTCTTTAAATCCTCACTGGAGGGACGGCACAAACAACCGCCAAACGAAACAACAATAACGAAAAGCACTACACTGATAATATTCATGATGAGGCCTATAGTGGTGTTCAGAACAAACTGGACCGGTAATACTACTTAACTTTTATGTATGTAAAATGTAAATGTTACAGGAGCGTAGCGAGGGGGGGGGCGTGGGGGGGTGTCACACCCCCCCTCTATTTTGTTTAGTCGGCATTTTCGACCATTTTGGTTTTTAGTCGGCAAAATTTCTTTAAAAAAACATTTTAAAAAATAATAAAAAATTATAGTTTTCGCTTAACTTTTATAATTCACATTGTAAATTTCACAAAAAGAACATATTTAATTAGTTATCTTTTAATAGAGTCCCTAAAATAATAGGGACTCTATCTTTCATTATTACGTAGCGCCATCTATTAGCATCTATTAGCATTGTTTTAGATGTTTTTACCTCATGTATGCAAGAAGAACCAGAAAAACTTATAAAACTTTTTGAACCATTTCATAAAATTTTTAAAATACCTTGTAATAGAAGTAATTGTACTTTTGAATTGGTTAGCATAATTAAAAATACATTTATTCAATTTATTAAGGAAGTTCCGGAATGCATCTATGCCGAATTGGAAATTCTTTTAGATAATAATAATAATAATAATAATTTTATTTGCAACTGTTTACAGCAAAGATTAGATGCCACAATTACATACAGTAAAAAAAAATTAAATATTAAAAATAAAATTAACAACTTAAAGAGATAGATTCAAACATTTGCAAATAATGATTGAAGAGCAACATACCCATTTTATGGATTGCTGATCAAAGCTTCAACCATTTAAAACTAAACCTAATTCATCCTAACCCAACCTAACCTAACCTAACCTAACTTAACCTAGACCACTAACCTAACCTATCCTACACCACTTTACATGACCCTATATTTCCTAGATACACTACTATAATAAAAAAATAAAAATAAAATAATAAAATAAAAAATAACAAACACAACAAAACGCATCAATCACAAATGGCTAAGCAATAACATTGATTTGCACCTCCTTTTAAATTGTACTTCATTTAGAAGCTTTAATTCCTTGGGTAACTTATTATATTCAATGTATATATTGTAGCTAAATGATCTTTTAAAAAAAGTTGTTTTATGAGGAGGAGGAGATATAAGTCCCTTAAAGCGAAGGCCTAAATTGTGTACGTCATGTCTAAATCTAATTTTGTTACTTAAATATTGTGGTGTTTTGTTTTTTACTATGTTGTGAAAAAGACAGAGACTATGAATAAGCATTCGTTTTGACATGTTCAGCCAATTTGCGTCCTTTAACTTATGAGACACTGGAAAACTACGATGTATCGATCGATGTACAGAGTGCCAAAACTTTGATGACATTGCAAAAGTGGCATTTAGCCTAAAAAATATTCTTCCCACGGCTTATAAAATGGTACATTTATAAGTATTAACATCACCCGTTACGTCAGCGTCCAGCAAACGTTCTTTTAGTAAACTTAAATTAGTATACAATCATTTGCGAACTACGATGGGTGACGACCGTTTAAATTTACTTATGATATTATATTCTGAAAAGGATAAAATTGATTTGGAAAAACTATTAAAAAGATGGTCTAAACTAAAACTTCGTCGAGTTCAAACATAAAAATATACCTTAAGTTATAATAATTTTAATACTTTTCATAATTGAGGAGTGAAGTATTATTAAATATTCATCAGAATTTTTTTTTTTAAATAATCTATATTGCCCTAACCTATACAGGCTATAGTCATTTTTTTGAAAAATTGTTGCAAATGGAAATACGACCTTTTGAAAAATCACTCCTCAATTAAAAACAAGTAGGAGATATGTTATATTACACACACACGCAAAATATTTTTAAAATAAATAGGAAATAAATTTTAAGTTAATTTTATTTATTGATTTTCAAAATTACCCAAATTTTAAAAATTATATCTAGTTAGTCAGTAAACAAGTCAGCAAATTATAAATTATCAGTCGGCAATTTTGAGTGTTTCACCCCCCCAGTCATGGGGGGCTCGCTACGCCCCTGTAAATGTATAATATAAAATGTATTGCTTGCCAGCCGCAAATACGTGATTATTAGGGATGGGATTTTAGTTATTTTACCTTTTTTCAACCGATGTAACTATTTAAAAACTAATAATGCCAAAATGTGTTTTAAAAGATTTTCTTTTATATAAACCTAACTTGTTTTCACCTTTTTTAACTTTTTTGGAGGTTTTTGCTTTAAACTACCTTTTTTATACTTTTGTTACCTATTTTTTTTTTAACTCGTTTTCACCTTTTTTACCTTTTTTGGAGGTTTTTGCTTTAAACTACCTTTTTATACTTTTGTCACATATTTTTTAATTTGTCAGTTTATTTTCACCTATTTGTTACCTATTTTTACGTATTTTTACTTATTTTATTTTTTTTGTGTTCTTTTTAAATTTTGCGCCAATATTTTATTCAGGGCGTGCAACTCAACGGTATAGAATTTTTTCTTATGGTCACAGACTGAAACTTTCTTTGCAGTTACCTTCTTTGTAGTGAGCTTATGTTCTGTCATAGAACTTCTGTGTAGTGAGTGTCACTCAGTGAAACAGTTTATTGCATAGACATAGTTTATTGTGGGTATGTTCTGTGTTTGGGTATGCGGCTAAACAAAATTATAAAAAATGACCAAAACCAAAGAAAATCCTCTAAATAAACTCAGCAGTTGGATATTGACGAAAAAAACTTATTTTGTAGAGTTTGCTGTAAAATGACCAAAACCAAAGAAAATCCTCTAAATAAACTCAGCAGTTGGATATTGACGAAAAAAACTTATTTTGTAGAGTTTGCTGTAAAATTGTAAGGACTTGGAGGTTATGTTAAAACATATTTCTTTAATTTATATAGATTTTAGCTATCCGTTATCCGTTACTCTAAAAGTAAATTTGGTAAATATCAGGTATTCCCTGTTATATTTTCCTTATAGCTTTAATTAACTATTGGTCAGTTTATAAAAAAAATATTTTATGTTACTTATTTTATAAAAATAAACGAAACTTGAACTTTTAATGTTTTTTTTACCTAAAATGCTGTGTTTTTAACCTAAAATGCTTTTTTAGTACCTTTTTAGTTACCTATTTTTCAGTTTTTAGTACCTAAAAATCCCATCTTTAGTGATTAGTAATCTTAGAATGTTTCCAGAAAGGCAGAATCAGTGTTGTGCTACAAGATCCATATGTATGCTTTTAAAAATATAAACCATGCTACTAATGAAGGCTTCACCAAAAAGAGCGTTAGAGGAAAAAAACAAATTTTATTTATTTACATATCTTTGGGTGTATATTATTTATCTGACAACCGTGGCAACAGCGTTTACAGATTTTATGTTGTGCTATTGCTAAGCCCAAAAAAAATATTCCAATGTTTTCAAATCACACGATCTCGGTGGCCAACTGACAGGACCATTTCTGGAAATTAGTCACCTAACTCTGCGCAACACGATCAGTTGTACTGCAAGCAATGTTGCATCATTATGTTCGAAAAATGTAGTTCAGACCAATATCATCAAATTTTCTGAACATATATATAATTGGCAAAATTAAGTCAAAAAACAGTTGTGAAGTACCATTAAAATAGTCAAATATTTAATTTCTATTCCTCTAGCTAAGCTAATTAACTTGTGTTTTTTAAAGGCAGAATTTCCAGATGTTCTAAAGGAGGCCCTTGTAATACCAATATATAAGAAAGGTGATATAAATGACCCCAACAGTTTCAGGCCTATATCCATCTTGCCTGTTATTTCGAAGATTATTGAAAAATGCATGGCCAATAGAATTGTTGCTTTTTTTGAAGAAAACAACATATTTAGTGCGTGTCAACATGGTTTCAGAAAGGGTAAAAATACCACATCTGCAATTCTACAAATGGTACAAACAATTGAAGATTCTTTCGAAAACTTTGAATTTGCTAAAGCAGTGTTTTGTGATCTAAGCAAGGCCTTTGACTTTGTTTCTCACTTCCTGTTTCTAAAAAAGCTTCAAACCTACAATTTTTCTAAAATTAGTATAAAACTAGTTAAATCATATTTAACAAATATATATCAAGTTTGCAAAACTGGGAATGAATTGAGTTAAAGGGAAACTGTTAATGTGGGGGTACCTCAAGGGTCTGTTCTTGGACCTATCCTATTTTTGATATTTATAAATGACCTGTCTAATATTAGTAACTCGACTGATCTTACACTATTTGCTGATGATACCACAATTGTAGTAAAAGATAGAGTTCTTGAACATTTCGAGGTGAAGAGTGAGAAAGCAAGGTCGCAGGCGGAAAAATGGTTTACCGAGAACAAACTTGTTCTAAACATAAAGCACTATTTTCTCTTTAAGATATCTTAATGAATTAAACAAGAAAGAATGTTATTATGTTTGAAAGCAAATTAAGATGGATTAGATTCACTATCAAAGAGGTTGAATACCAATATATTTATTATTCTTAATCTTGTTGGTAGTGTGTTCAGTGAAGTATTGGCTAGTGCCTATTTTTCCTTATTTAAATCGCATATTTCCTATGCCATAATTGTTTAGGGTCATTGCTCTGAGTCACACAGAATATTTAGTCTGCAACGCAAAATTATAAGGATTATTGCCTCCCTTCGTTACAGGGACGATTGCACATGGCCGAATTTATAAAACTTGGAATTATGCCTTATTTATTTATCAAAATCTACTATACGTAAAAATTAATTTAAACTTATATAAAAGTCATGACTGTGTACATAACCATAGCACTAGAAATAAAACCAACCTAATTAATCAATTCTCTGGACTAAACAGGTGCCAAAATGGACCTGATTTTTATGGAATTAATTTTTTAACAAACTTTCCAATAATGTAAAAAATATGGCTTTTAATGAATACAAACTGTTTTTAAAATCCATTTTTACTAATCATTCATTTTATTCATTATTTTTAAACTTTACTTTTTAAGTTTGTCCTTATTTTATTTTATTCTTTGTTTAATTTGTATTTACATTTCTTGTACTATTTTTATATTTGTATTTTCCTGAC